TAAAGAGTAGGAGCTGCCTTTACCTCTCCATCCACATCTGTGTTGTGTAGCCCCCAAATTACTCTTTAAGTGTCTGGATCAAAATCTAACTTCTCTGCAGTGGATTGAATGGTGGCCTCCAAGATGATATGTCTATATCCTAACCCTCAGAGCCTGTGAACGTGACCTTATTTGGAAAATGGGTCTTTGAGGATGTGTTTAAGTTAAGGATCTTGAGATAAGATCATCCTGGATTACCTGGGTGGGCCCTAAACCCAATGATAAGGGTTCTATAATAGAAAACAAGGAGAGAAGACACACAGAGGGGAAGGTGATGTGGAGGGGAGAGTAAAATGATGTAGCTATACCAGAAGCTGGAAGAGGTCAGGGACGATGATCCCACAGAGCCATTGGAGGGAGTGCAGCCTTGCTGACACCTAATTTTGGATTTCTGGACTTGAGAATGGTAAGAGAATACATTTCTGTTGTTTTAAGCCACCAAGTTTGTGGTCATCGGTGACAGCAGCCCTAGGAAACAAATACACTTTGCAAGTTTCCATTTTCTTAGCTGTAAGATGGTAATAATAGTATTCCCCACCAAATTTGTTGCATGGATTTCATATCTATAGAACTATAAGTAAAACTGCCCAGATCAGTGGCTGACACAATGGGCCCTCAATAAATGGCAGCCACTGGATTCTTACACTATGCTCTTGGTATTCATGGAAGGTCGTCTGAAGAGCTGTACTTGAGGACTTCAGTATGATGCCCCCACAGGACCCTGGATTGCCCTCTTGGAGTTAACCTGACACAGAAATACTAGATGAAGAAGAACGCAGAAGTGAAGATCAACTGAGAAGGCAAAACTCTCTCAGGTCAGCAGGAAATGGGCTGTCCTGATTGATCGTTGTAACATCATTCAAGAATGCTGTGAGCCCACCGGGGTTTGGGGAGCCACTAGATCCTAGAAAGAAAGGAGCAAAGGGGCAAATATTGGCCATGCCCTTCAGACACCATCTAGGGGAGTGAACTCTCAGCCAAAAGATTCCTATGATTTCCAATCTCTGGGCAAAACTATCCCATCTGCGTGGTGGTAATAAGTGGTCTTAGCATGATGCATCTAGTGTATCACTTGACTTTCTATAATTTCTTGTTTTCAAAGCAAACTTGGGATTTCCATGTAGATCCGCTGCCAGAGGAGAATGAACTAATTGTAGGGGTTTGATCCCTAGGATAGAGATTTCTCATGACAGATCCAAAGTATGGCTTCAGATGAAGATTTGGCTTCCCGAGTGTTCTAACTAGGGGCAGAGAACACACAGGTGGTGCCAGCCAGGGCACTCGTGGTCTTCCGAACAGTTATCCTACTCTCAGTGCTTGTCTCCATGTCTGCTGTGCATTTCTGTTAGGCTGAGTCAGTCCAGGACTTGATCATGTCTGGCACCAAAGGCCCCCTGGCCTGTCAAACAGAAGCCCGCTGGGAAGGGCACCGCCATGACATTTCTGGGTCATCATGTCCATTGATTCTCACAGAACCACTTTCCACACGCCCTGCAAACTTATCAAGAACATTCAGTTCTGTCTTCCACTGTTTCCGACACCCATGGTGACTACCTTTTCTAAAACAAAAATTAGACACACATGGGTGAGTATATGCATAGTGAACCATACAACAGAATATTTAATAATGAGAGTAATTTTAAGCATTCAGACTATGTGGCTATGATTCTTATATGTGGTCCCAGTGAGAGAAACATTATAGAATTTAATTCTGGGATAAACTTTGCCTCTATTGAGGAATTGATACCTTTGCTTCTTTAGTAAAAATAATTCCTTCCCTTTGTCCTGGCTGTTGAGAAGCTTAAGGTTAAACCTGTTATTTAATCATAGTGACTGCAAAAATTATTTTACTTTCTTTGATTGTAATTTTCTATTTCCCTCCCTCTGATTCTTACCATAATCTCAGCTGTTCAGGAGGGCACTGCCTATTGGCGGCAGGGGCTGGCTGGTTCCACCCTGTATCCGTTGTTTTGGCCAATGAGCTGTTAGCATAGGTTTTGTGTGGGATTGCTAGGCAGGTGAATTAAAGTGTGCTGACCCATTCATTGGAGGAGGACCCTTTTGTCCTTGCTCTGTTTATCCGACCTACGGAATAGGCAGTATACGGGCATACCATGGCCATCTTGGACCAGGAGGTGTCCCAAAAAGATGGAAGCCAGCAACAGGATGATGCAACTAAAAAATGAATCCCTGGGTGCTGGAGAGTCACCCTATCAGTTCTAGCCTAGCTAGAGGTTTCTTTTAGGTGAGTCAGAAATAAACTTGTACTTTGTTGAAGTCACTATTAGTTTAGGTTTTCTAATAAAATTTCTGCACTATCTTTTTGCAGCACTTCCCAGAACTCTTGAAAATGAATTTTATATACACCACACATTTTAAGATAACTATCCCCAAAATATCTTCCAAATTTAGTGAAAATCTGTTTAACATTTCTGTATGATATGGTAATCAGACAAACACTTAATTTTACCTATAGAAATATGTTCTTTCTTGTAGCCTGGCTTACATCCTTTTTGGAAGTGGGTAGACTACAAATAAATAAGCAACAGTAATAGTAAACAAAGTAGAAAAGTGTTGTCAAGTGATAGTCTTCATCCATTTTCTTTAATGAAAATATTAAAAATTTTGAAATTAGCATAGCACTTGTGTATAAAAGAAAGTGCCTAATGAATATTTATTCTCTTATGTATATAAACTCTTCCTTAAGACCTTACTTGTATCACTCACCTGCAGAGAAAAATCACTTTTTCATAGATTAAACCAAGATAAGTACCAGCCCACTCTCTGTCCAAAGTGTCATAAATTCTGTCTTAGTGAACTAATGAGATTTAATGAAGTCCAAATTAAGTCTTACAGTACTTTGGAAAGAATCTTTCTTTCCCCTTAACCCTTGGTCTTTCTATTCATCTTCAAAGGAAGCGCTAATGGGAAGCAATGAATCCCAGCATGACCGTGATTAAATTTCATGAATTAAACAGATGTACTTTTGCAAAATGGTAAATTCCACCAGTAAAACAGATATTTCTCTTTCTCAGCCAAACTAAAGGCCTATTGTTTCCAGATCTTGGCACAAATGACCAAGGGTTTTGATTTTGATTCTTTCTAGAAATTAGTATAATGTTTTTAAATACTTTCAAGAGTAAATCGCAACAATTATAACTCCTGCCTTTAAAACCAGGGCCCCACTCTCTTTCCTTCCCTCCTGCCTCCTCCTTTCTCCAACACACACAGGTACACACTTGGTGGCTATTTGGGCAGCTCTGAAGGGTAATCCTATCTCTGAGCATGGTAGAATGGTAGAACGCAGCTTTTAAAAATCTGGATTCTCTGTTTTAAGTGAGAAGCACCAGCTTGGAAATAATTTCTCCTAGTCACTACAGGTTTTCCAGTGTCTTGGCAATAAGAAACAGCAGCTTGCTGACAGCATTTTAAATGACCTACATTTGTGTGGAGTGCCACGTGGTCAGCCCAGCAGGGCTGGAGAGGGAAAGATGGCTCTGGCACTGGCTGTTCATCGGGACAAGCAACTCCAGATCCTTCCTGCCTGGCTTCTCCATCTCACCATCTGCATAACTGCTGACTCATTAGGCAGGTGTCTCTCCCGCTGCTGGAAGGCACATTTGTTCCCTATAATTTGCCACTTTTCCAAGTGGTTAAGGGAAATTGGACTCAAGCAAGTCTGGGAATGGAGTAGGGGAGCTAATGCCAGTCCTCACCCAGGTGGATGCCATTCGTGGGGTCAAGACTCAGAGGGCGAACGGCTTCCCAGCTAACTTGGAGTGGACACCTACAGGAACAACCAACATCCATCACGAAATTTTTGGAACAAGCCTCATTTGAATGTTTCATCCTGTTGTTCCTATATTTATCAGACTATGCGTTTTGAATTTGGGTTTGGAGAATATTGTCACTGTACTCAAGGTGGAAATATGTTGCTCAGAGAATGAGTCTCAAAGGTATGTCTGAGTCAGTGAAACTCAGAAACCAGGAGGCTGGAGGGCACAACGCCCACATTTTTTCAGGGACCAAGAGTTCCTTACATTCAGCAGGGTCTAAGACACTTTCTGTTTTTACCCTTAATGTTGGCCATGGCTATCTTCTCTGCCTGAAGGTTGTTTATATTCTGCTTTTGGTGCTATGCCTCCTCCCAACTCCCAGACACAGGGGTGTGACTCAACATGAACCCACCATCGTACCTCAAACCCTTGGACACAGTGATTGGACTCAGAGGTGACCATACTGAGACAGAGTCCTTGCCTATTGCACAAAGAAGCCATTCATTCATTCATTCCTAAAATACTTACAAGGCCTCCACTATCATAGCCAAAGTCCCTATTTTGGGTGTTAGGGAAGTAGCAATGAACTAGGAAGATGCAATTCCTCTCTCTAGGGAGTTTACATGATGGGGGGGCAGTGGGAAGCAGGCAGGCAGGCAACAAACTAAATAAACAAGATGATTTGTGAGAGTATTAAGTGTAATGCAGGTACAGATTAGTGATACTAATAGTATCCTGGGCTAACACTCAGCAGGAAGTGGAAATTGGAGGGGGAGGAGACCGTAGTGGCTCTTGAGTTGGCTATAGCTGTCCCATAGGGTCAATCCCACCCCTGCTTTTTCTGGGTTTTTATATCACGAGCCAATAAATCCCCCTTTAGAGCAAAAGCCAGGTCACAGCCTTGGCTCAGACATTCCTTATCCAATACCACCCAGACCCCGGCTTAAGAATGGCCATCTGGTCAGTTAGAAAATCTGCGCTGATCTGGCACTTGCTAGGTACTGCAGTGGGTTTACAAAGGAGCAGGTTGTTCTCACTCCCCTCAAGGAGCTTTTAATTAACCAAGGGCTGGGGAATAGGAACAGATGCACATGGTCAGTATCATACTGTGACAGTGTGGCCCATGGTACTGACTGTCCTACTTGCTCAGGGGCTGGAGTGGTCATATAAGAATGGCTCTTTGGAGAAGGCACTGGATTTGAGAAAGCACTTGATTTAATCCTCATTAAACTCCCATTGTTGAATAAGAGACTGCTGAAGCACACAGAAACACAGGTAAGAGCTCATATTTGAAGACATTCATTAAGGAAATATGTTCAGTTTATTCACAATTGATTGACTGATTAAGAGTAATTGTGGGACAACCAGCAGAGTTTCGGGAAAGACTGGGATAAAAATCTAATGGGTCTAGGAAACAGCAGCAGAGGGGACAGCCCATTTTGTCTCTTTACACACTTCCCCTAGGTGATTTTATCCAGTCCCAAAGCTTTAATTACAACCTATATGCTGTTGATCCCAAAGTTTGTATCTTTAGCCCAGACCTGTCCTCTAGACTCCAGACTTATACATCCAAACTTCTTGACCTTTCCACCTAACACTCAAGCTTAACTGATTCAAAATTGAGCTCTTCATTCTACACCCACCTCCCACCTGTCCTTCCCTGGTCCTCTCTCCCAGTAACTACTTTCATCATCCATCAGGTTGCTGAGGCCAGAAATCTAGAAGTCCTTGTCCATTCATCTCTCTCCCTCATCTTCCACTGCCAAACCATCAAAACTACTTCTTGAGTGCATCTCCCTTCACATCATCCTGGTCCAAGCCATGATCATCTTTTACATGGAATATGGCAAGAGTCTCTCAACTCATCTGAGCTGGAGTCGGCTTCCTTGGAACCACTTGAATCTCCAAACGGGAATTAGTTGCGATAGGGAAGGGGATCGTGGAAACTGGGAAGGCGTCCATGACAGGTTCATCACTGACCCAAGGGAGTCACATACTTTAGTGCATTCCTGGACCAAATGGATATAACACGTGGATCGTCTGCTGCTTCTGATGTGACTCATTCTCATTGGCACGCATGTGGGCAGAGTCAAGAATACTTCATGAAATGTGAGCACCGAAAAACACTTTGAGATCACCCAGACCAACTACCTCATGATACCAGCAGGGAAAGAAACTAAAGTGCAAAGAGGTTAAATGTCTTGTCTGAAATCACCCTGATTAATTAATTATATATAATGCCTCATCTTAAAATGGATTTAAGATTCCTTATCTGCAATCTAAAAGACTATATGCATAAGGCCCCTTCAAGGTAGCTTTCATAAATGACTTCTACAAACTAGGCTTTTGATAAGAATCAGGTAGCAGGGAGTTCAAGTCTATGCCCTGATGAGTGCTGGGGAACATGTATTATGGTATGGAGTAAGTGTGGAGCCACATGCTCCAGTAGTCAGCCAACTCTTGAGGAGGGTTGGCATGTTTTTATTATAAAAATGAAGCCATTCTCCCTCATCATACCTCACTATAAGTGAATGGCCTTGGATAAGATTTCTTTCAGAAAACTTCTCTGGTCCCACACGCCACTGGACAAATGTATGGTTTAGGGCCTCCATTTTCTGTTATAGAAAAGAGCTATGGTCTTTTAGCTTAAGAGTGTTCAAATAAGCACCATCTCAGCCATACAAAGAAAGCTTAGCATTAAGCAGTTAAATCCTGCAAAATTAACTAATTGCAAAATTTGTGAATGTGCAAATAAACAAATTGACTTTCTATTTGGAGTAGAGAACTATACATCAGTAAAATATTAGAGGGCATTTACTAAAATAAGTTTATTTTGGGGTGTGGTTATTTTGAATCATTATTTCCCATGTATTTGTTCATGGGATAAATAACTGACCTCTCTAAGCCTCGATTTACTCATCTGTACTATGGGTCAGTAATAATACCTCTGTCTTAGGGTTGTTGGGAGGAGTAGGTGAGATAATTCATGTAAAGAGCTTAGCATAGCTCTCAATAAGCATTCATATTTTATCATTAAAGGGCTAATTGTCTGTTAAAGTCACTCAGTTCATGACAATGAAATCTTGTTACCAGTATATAGAAGTTTGGGGTGAGGGCCGGGGATTTATCTGACTCATGATAAAAAAGGTCTAGACACTAAGCAAGCTCTAGCCAAAGTCAAGACTAAAGCTAATCATCTGGATAAGGCAGCACGTTTATTATCAATTCAGCAATTTTAAGATGACAAAGTTGGTAAGACCTTTGTACACCTGCTTACCCTTGTGTCCTTTTGTTACTGTGTGCTGTGAATTGTGATGCCAGCCAAGGCCAAAGATGACTGAGGTCTGGAAGGCTCATGGGTATGTGGCTTCTGAGGCAAATGAGATATTTGTCTTTCTTGATCAAGTAATTTGATATTTTAGCTTGCAATTAAATACTCTGATAGCTACCAAGCGCCTTTCTTATTGAAATTGCTGCAGGAAAACTAACTCTGTTATTGTAAGCCGCGAATGCCCTAACCTCAACCCCTTTTATCTCTCACTGAATCAATTGGTTTTATAATTCAATTTCGATAAAGTAAATTTCCTTAGGAACCCAATTATCTCTTTATAGCATATCAGTGTGTAGATATACTACGCAGAAGCTGCTACAGCAGGGAAAAGCATAAAATGGGAGGGTAACCCAAAATAATTCTGCCCGGGGGTGTGTGGGTGGATAGAGTGTCAGGAGAGGCTGTGGAGAAGGGGTGACATTTCAGTAGCAGATGTAGGAATAAGTACCTGTTCCCCAAGCGGACGGAATGCAAAAGATTATTCCTGGTAAAGGGAATGGCTTGAATGTACAAACGATGAAGTGTGAGTGTAAGGAACATGTCATACACAGGGGGTAGTGACTGCTGTGGCCAGTTAACATTGTGCTGGACAAATGCAGCCGAATGTGTAGCAGGTGCTGCTCCGGGCAATGGCCACTGGCTGCTAAGCACAGAGATGATTTGGAAGGAGAGGCCAAAGCCAGGAGATAGGCTGGAAGGCCTTGCGTATCATTGCTTTAGAGTCTGCATTTATTTCTGAAGACAGTGAGGCGTGTTCCCTGTGGTTTTTAAGCACAGGAATGGGGTGATGAGAACTAAGTGTAGCAAAAGAATGCAAACAGAATGGCAGAGGGTGAATGACAGAGGGGAGCGACTAGGAGCACGTTCTGCAGTCCGGGCTGAGGGAGTTGGGGGCAGGGGAAGTCACGGTGTGTGCTATGAAGGAGCCCCATTGATATATCTGGCCCTATTTCCTGGCATCCATTTCCCTGGCTTCCCAACCCTCCTTGTCATCACCTGCTCTCATTTGCAAAGAATTAAAAAAGAAAAAGGAAAAAAAAAAAAAAACCTAAAAGGCTAAATCGGACTCTTTCTCCCAGAGCTGAAATTACTTTAGCAAAGATAATGGCTCCTTTTGGTTTGCAGGGTCTCATCTTCTCTTCTAAAGGTTAAAAATAGAAAACAGATTAAAATCCTGAGTATAAATCCTAAAAAGGATTTCTATTCCCTCCCTGTGGGGTGATACATTTAAAGGGCCCTGGGATCTAGAAACTGCCTGAGTGACACTCTTCTGCTTGATGCATTTTTTTTTTTTTTAAGATGAGCCAACAATAAAAAACAGCCATGTGCTCGTTCAGAATTGGGCTGGTCATTTTTATTAAGTGGGTTCATTCTGGTTTGCATTGCAGGCCTGCCCCTAATCATTTCTATTAATGTTGTTATTCAGGTTAGGTGGGGGTGGGGGTGGTGAGAATGGAAAGAGGGAAAGCCTATTTGTCACTTCAAAAATTAACTCTCTTACCAATGATGATGTCTATTCTATTAGATTCATTCCTTTGGGACATGCCCAGAACAGGAGCACTTTCTTCCCAGTCCTCAGAATGCTCCTCTGCTCTAGAATTGCAACCCACTTTGTGCTGGTGCCCACTCTGCTGGATGTGCCCCTGCCAGAGACGCCCCTAAAATCACCACTCAGCAGGCCCTGGCTGGGGGGGGGGGCTCTAAGTGGGCCTTCCGGCTTATGTTGGTTGGGTGAGCCAACTAATCCAGCCTGGAAATAATGAAACTTTGCTTCCAATGACTCATCTAAAAATCTCTTCTAAGCCGTCTTAGCCCTGGGCCTAGCAATATTAACTACAGGGTAGGCATGGGAGTGGGAGATGGCTGAGGCTCCGGGCCATTTCGCCTCAGTGGTTATGTAAATTGGAAAGAGAACTCTAGCATCTCCAATGAGGGGGGGGCTGGGGAGGGGCTGGTAGATGGCAGCCCTGATTCCTTGGTGTCCCCATGAGAAATATCGCCTTATACTAGAGACGACAAGGCACATGTCAGCATGCTTCAAGTCTCCTGTTTCATCCTTTCTGAAATCGCTGATAAAACCATACACTGTCAATGTCTTGTTATGTCAGGTAGGTGTTGTTTTAAAAAATAAGTTGCCATTGACTTCACTTTTCCAAACTCCTCTGAGATATTATTATTATTACTTTATTTAAGTCCAGAAATGAATTTTTTACCTCTTAGAGCCAAAGATTTTTAGAGCCAGAAACTCTATTTGGGATTGCAACAGCAATCTGTCCTTCCCCACCTGGCATCCCTTCCCCTCTTTGTAGGTAACTGCTTCCTAAATTTCCTTTGGAAAATCATCCTTCACACCCCAGTCCCAATCCCTAAGGCTATTTTCAGGCTTTTTTTTTTTTTTGCTAATAAAATCTCTATGCTGCTTTAGGGAACAACGGACAGGCCACCACCTTCATCAACCTTCCTTCTAGTGTTGGGCACGTATCACAATTCTGTCCAACGAGATCTAAGTGCAAGTCCACGAGGGCTTCTGGGTAGGCTTTTGCACTTCATGGTAAGAGAGGACAGATGCTTGAGCAGGCCCTTCTGTCTTCCTTCCTTGAAAGCAGGCACGATGGCTGCAGCTGTGGCAGTCCATCTACTGGAACAGGCCAATGGAACCACACAGTTCATCGACCCTTGATTTTGTTGAGTCACTAATTTCATGCTGGTGACTGCTTACTCTAGAAATATGATTATGTAAGAAAAAGAAACTCCTGCTTATTTGAACCTACTGTTGGCCAGCTGTTCCGTTACTATGGGGTGGGTGCATTTCTAACTGGTATGCCTGAACTTACACTAACAGGAAATCAGCTGCCAAGGAACTGCATTCCCAGAAGGGCAATTCACCCAAGGCTCATCTCTCCTATGTCTGTGGAGGGCATCAAAGAGAACAAAACCCAAGAAAGCTGGACTGGGAAGTCAAGGAACTCACCCTGCGGCCAGGAGCTTTGCTATCCCTCCCCGACAGGATACAGTGTGTGCCAGGGACTAATAACCGCTATTTGTTGTTTCTCTTCTTCAAACGAACGTTTTAATAGCAATTATCCTGTTGTTGTTGTTGTTGTCTTTTCACCACTACTACATATTGGGTAAGCTGGTAGATGGTGAAATGTTGTTAGCTGAAAAAAAAATGAGGTTTATAATTTGGCAAAGGAAAGCCTTATTTCTCATGAGGGGTTTACAGTCCACAGTGGCCATTCTGGCAGGCTGGGGAACAGGGCTCCCAGCCACAAGCCAGGAAAACGTGCTTCAAGAGAAGGATGAAGGGAATAGGATTTTATACTCAGTGGGGTGGCTAAATATACATATTCAACAAGCTATAGGAAGAGTCATGAATATTTATGAAAAGAGAAAACATGTGCAATTGTGCTTTATACCTCCCCTTCCATCATGGCTGGGAGCTTAGTTTTAAGGTTTCTCTGGGTTTCTCATGGCCAAGAGAGGTCTGTTCAGCTAGCAAGGGGCTTAGGGTTTTATTTGTAGCTCACAATGCCATTGACCCGAAGGCTGCAGATCATGAAAAGCCACACTCAGTCTGATGGAGAAGAATACATACGATGAAGAAGGCCTGGACCTGCAGTGGGTGCAGTAACAAGACAAGACTTTGTGTTGTCTCTCTCTGGAGATTGAGATGACCGAGCTGAGTGCTGCACATGGAGCAGCTGCACTTTTGAAGCTGGGTTGAAGGGAGGAAATGTGCATGGGAGAAGAGCATCCAAGGGGTGGATTGTAGTTACACCTATTTTTGCATTCTCAGCATCCACTGCCCCTTCCTCTCATGCTCAGACTTTTCTTTAGAGGATTAACTCTTCACTGTCAGCTGATGTGTTTTAGTGGGACTGGCCACACCCCAACTGCAGGGGTAAGTATGTATAAAGACTACACGAATCAGAATATTCATTCTCCTGGTCACTGCGAGTGGTTCAGGGATAAGCTCATGTCCCCATTGAAGCCTGACAGTCAGCACTGGGAGTTTTGCTCATATGACTGGAAAGAAGCTAGTTATTTTTATTACCAAGCTGGTAGAATGCAAATCTACAGCTAGGTGGGTATTTTTGACACTGATTGGTAAAAGCCTGGCTGAAAATAAAACTAACAGAAGAAGAAAGACCCAGAGATAGAGATTCTTACCATTGATGATAATTTGAGCTCCTGGATCCAACTGATCTTGACTCTAACCTTGGTCTTTTTAGTTATATAACACAATAAATTCCCTCCTCCTTTTTTTTTTGAGACAGAATCTCACTCTGTCTCCCAGGCTGGAGTGTAGTGTCGTCATCATAGCTCACTGATAACCTCAAACTCCTGTGTTCAAGGGATCCTCCTGCCTTGAATCCTAGCAGTTGGGACTATAGGTGCACACCATGATGCCTAGCTAATTTTTCTTTCTTTCTTTTTTTTTTTTTTTGTAGAGATGGTGTCCTTGCTCTTGCTCAGGCTGGTCTTGAACTCCTGGCCTCAGGTGATCCTCCTGCCCCAGAATCTCAAAGTGCTAGGATTAGAGGTGTGAGCCACCAGACCTGGCTCAATTCCCCTTTTTATTTAAGACAATTTGAGTAGCATTCTTGTCACAGTAGCAGAAAGAATCCCAATTAGAGCATTATCTAGTTTGGTCTATATTATAGATGGCGAATATAAAACCCACAGAGGATAAATGACTTGTCTAAGGTCACATAGCTATGTATATAATCCATGTCTCTTGAGCTATGAAGCTCTTTTCCTGCCACCAGTTAGCAAAAGGACCAGAACTATGGGTTTTCACAGGAAGAGATGATGATATCCAATTGAGGGGAGCAGGAAATATTTCACAGAGGAAATGGCATGGAAACCAGGAAGGACTCTGAGGTTTTGGAGCAGTGGGAAGAGAGTGAAGGGTACTCGAGGAAAAGCAGGTCATAGGAAGAAATGTGGGGAGACAGAAGAGCCTAAAGGAGGCTTAGGGGCAGCAAACACTACTTTTCCTGAAGCAGAGTTTGCACGGAAGAGTAAATTATTATTATTATAAATGAAAAAGAGTGAGAGAGATAAAAAAAAAAAAGAGGACAGAAAACACATGAGAAAGAGAAAGAAAGAGAAGGCAGAGAGGAGAGAAAAAAAGAGAATAAAGGAAAAAGAGTGAGTTAAGAAAGGAGAGAAATAAGATAATGAAATTAATATTTCAATACCTGTTAAATGTTTCATGTTCAGTTTTTATTCTCACGAAACTCAATGGGGGTATTCCTATTCCCATTTGACATCGACTTTTAACATGGTGAGATGTTAAGGGACTTGCCCAAGGTCACATCACAGAAGCCCATGGGAGAAGGCCAGGCTTCCAGCCCAGGAGTGCCTGCTTCCAAAGCCACAGAGCTCAGGTCAGAGAGAGAAATGATACCCCGGTCACTCCTACAAGGGTGGAAGCACTTCCAAGAGAGTTAGTCCAGGCTAGTGATTCACATCAACTTGATTCACCAGATTGTTCTTTAGAAGCCAGCAAAGCTATGGTTTTTAGCTTCGGAGCACCCATAATCTATTATTTTAACGCTCTCTTTGCCTATAGCAAATTATGCTTTTCCAAGGCAGTGGACACGAAGGGTCCAAAGGCACATAAGGGACCTCCCTGTAACAGCACTGCAGTTTGGTTTCTGAATGCCGAATGTGGCGCTTCCATGCGAATTCCTCCTGGGACGGCTCCTGCAAGTTGGGCCATTGTGTTTTCTTGGGATCACAAAGGGTCCGTGCTCTGCTCTCCTCACCTTTAGCATTCCTTCCACTGAGAGGATTTCCCTTGAATCCAGGTCGAGGCTCTTGACTGCTCTGACCAACAGAATAATAAAACAGGAAAAGTAGAATAAGTGACGCTGTGCCAGTTTCCAGGCCTGAAGGGACGGCGGCTCCCACTCTCTGTGTCTGGAAACATACGATTTTGGAGCCCCACGTCATGATGTGAGATATCTGACTATTCTGCTGGAGAGAGACCGCGTGAGAGGCCCTGAGATGACATGGAAAGAGAGTGTGGCGGAGCCTTCTTAGACCCTCCAGGACAAAGCAGGCACCAGCTCAATAGCAGGTGGAGCAGAAATGCCCAGCGGGGCCCCATCCAAATCCCCCCCCCCCCCGCAGATCATGAACGTAACTGGGTGATTGTTACTGAAGCCGATGCATTTGGGGTTTCGTTGCATAGCAATAGAACAGAGCATCACCAGGCAAAGAAGGCTTTTCTAGAGAGAGGGACAGAGAGGAGACAGGGTCTTCATTTGAGAGGAGGGAGTGTCAACATCTTTCCGCTCCTCCTTGAAAGAGTCACAGAACCAAAAGACTGTAAGAAAGGTGTCATTAGAGGCCTCTCCACCACCCCCACCCGCACGCGCTGCAAGGCAGAGGAGTTTGGGAAGGAGGACGTCTAACTGCAGGTGTCTTTGATGTGAGCAGAGTTAGCACGTGGGTTGCGTGAACTTCTTTTGGGATTTTGAAAAGGCCTTGTTCCCCAGTGGCCAGACAGTGACTGCCGGGCTGAACACTGCTCTGGGGCTTCTGCCGATCTTTGGCAGGAGCGGGGGCCTTATTGCCCCCTCTGGAAAATGGAATGCACGTCCAGGCCCAGCCCCTGCAGCAGGGGTGCTGAGAGCTTGGCGAGAGAAGGCTCTGGTGGGGCCAGATTCAACTTGGCGTATGCAAGAAGACAAATCCTATGTCCCGAGAGGATGTGGATTTTGACATAGAAAGTGCTTTGGGAGTCTGTAGAAAAGATGGGAAAGGAGTATTCTTCCTGCAAGGCTGTCAAAATATATAATTATTCATTCATTCCTTCCACAAATATATCCTGAGCCACTACAGTGACTTACTAGCTCTCAGACAAGTATTTTTTTAAGGAGTCCTTATACATATACAGATATAAGTTGAAATATAGGATATGAAATGATAGGATACCAGGGATTTGCTTCAAAAATGGGCCAGGATGGGGCAATATAGATGCTATAAGATGGGCCATGAATTAATCAGCTATTATAGTTAGAAGACAGATACTGGGCCTTCAGTCAACCATTCTCACTACTTTTGTATATGTTTGGAATTTTCCATATTAAAATTTACATCAAAGCTTCTAGGCAAGGTGTACACAATTCTTGTGTGCTACCTGGAAGGGCCAGGAAACTTTAAGTGATAGTTTAAGTGGCTTCCAGACCCTTGTCCATCTAAATGGCTCCCTGCATCAACTCTTGGCTCCTTGTGTCCAAAAGACGCATCTAATTGTACCCCTGCTCTTCTCAGAGGAAAGACCAAGGCCAAAGTCCTTTCTAAGGCTATGAAGCCCTCCTCCCGCCCCAGCCTGCTCGCTCACATTCCCCTCCCTCGCTCCCTGCGCCCTGGTCTCTGCCCTCCAGCCACACCTGCCTTCTTCAAAGTCCTCCCCCTCACTACCCTCCCTCCTGCCTCTGGACCCTTGTTCATGCTGTTTCCTTTTCTGGAATGTTCTCCCACCCTCCTTCACTCACTTCACTCAATTCTCTCCCTCTCCTTCCATTTATGCTTCAGAGGTCTGTTCCTTGGTGTGATGGGCAGAGTGATGGTGGCCCCCAAAGATGTCCTAATCCCTGGAACCCGTGAATTCCTTGCACGATAAAAGAGACTTGGCAGATGTGATTAAGGTAAGGATTATCTTGAGATGGGGAGATGATTCTGGGTTACCTGGGTGGGCCCAGTGGCATCACAAGGATCCTTATATGACAGTGGTCCCCAACCTTTCTGGCACCAGGGACTGGTTTCATGGAAGACAATTTTTCCACTGATGGGTGGGGCAGGGGTGGCAGAGGGGCAAATGGGGTGGGGAGGTGGAGCTCAGGTTCAGTGATGCCCGGCCCTGTTTTCCCAACAGGCCATGGACCGGTATGGGGCATGGCCCGGGGGGTTGGGACTACAATCATAAGGTGAAGGCAGGAGAGTTAGAATCAGAGCAGATGTGGCAAAATGAGATTGAGGCTTTGAAGCTGGAAGGGGCATCAACCAAGGAATGCAGGCAGCCTCTAGAAGTTGGAGTCAGACCGCCCATCCATTCCAGTTCCCCTCTGTCCTTGAATAGACTCGGCCCCATGAGCTGCCTCTGACTGCTGGACTCTCTGGGGACAATCCCACCTATAGAAAGAGAAGCAGCACGTGGTCAGGGAAAGCACGTGGACCTCACAGTCAAAGGCAGCTGTTATTTAGTGCACAGGGCCACAGAGCCGAGGTGGTGGGTGGGGTGTCATTGTATTTTTTCAGATGTGGGAAATGAGGCCTGGAGAGAACTAAGGATCCAGCCAGTTAGTAGAAGATGCTCAGCCTCCTAGTCTCCAGGGCAGGGCTATTCCCCATGGCAACTCTTTAGGCTGCAAGTAGAAATTTTGGGCTTATAAAAGTGAATTCCTAAGGTGAATTGATTTCAGGTATGGCTGGATCCAGGAATTCAAGTGATGTCCCAAGTCTCTATTTCTGTGACTCTCCCTGTATATTGATTCTGTTGTCTTCCCTTTTCTTGGCATACTGGCCTCATCCTCTCCTACCTTGGGATAAGATCTCGTCACAGAGCAGGGGAAATGAGTTCGAGATCAAAACTATGAGATTTTCAGTTTGAGATCCAAATGGAAGAGTAACTTTTCTCTCCTTGTGTCCATCTATAAAATCTTTAGAAAGACTCTAGTTAGACCTGCTGGGTCTCATGCCCACCTCCTGAACCAAGCACAGTGAGCTATCATGATTGAACAGCATTGGGTCATATGCCTAACCTGTGATTGGGGGTGGAGGGACATAAAGATTGGCTGTCCTCCCAGAATGCATGGGCTAGGGGAGGAGCAGTTCTCCAGTGGTGAATGGAGTATTTGGCACATGAAACAGAAGTCCTCTTCACCCCTTGGGGGGCCTGGTCAAGGGGCAGCAGAGGCTGTTTCCAAGGGGCAGCCAAGCCCTGTCCAACCAGTGTCTAGCACAGTTCCTGACATACATTTGTTGACTGCATAAATGACACTGTTGCGTAGCAGCTTGACAAATGCCCCTCTGAAATCAAACCCCAACTCCACTCATGGTTTTCTCTGTGGTCCTACACCAAGCCAACTCAGTGTTCTTTGTCTGGGGGATGGGCAGAGATCACTCTCCCTGGAGGCTGGAGAACTCTTCACCTGGGGCTCCTTTCTCCCACGAAGGCCGGGGAGGTCGTGTGTCCCAGGAGACTCCTATGCTGGTAAAAGCAAGATAGAGGTCCCCTCCACATATATGTGAAATCACTATTTTCCACATTGTTACAATGGGGCTGCTAGTGTTAATATGGCTATCATGTATTTCACTGGTTTTAAAATTATTTAAATATATTGCATTTACTTCTTAAATGTGCTAATTTTAAGAAGAATCAAATAGTATAGGATGATAGAAGAGAAAAAGTGAAAATTCTCTTCCCCTCTCTCCTTAATCCCTCAGCCTCCCTCCCCAGAGATGACACTGTTAACAGTGTCTCTCAGAAAATGTTCTCCATGTAAATGCATATCTGATTTTTTAAAAATACAAATGGGATCTTACTACATATATAAGCATTACAAATTTAACTATGTTTAAGCTATTGTTTGATAAAATTATTTGCATGGAAATTTTTATTAACACCCCTACTGACAGTCTGAAAAGCAGTTTGGGAAACACCATATTTATTCATTAAAAATATGTGCACCTGGTGATACAAATATAAATAGGTTGTCCTGTTCCTGTTCAAAGACATGCTATGTACCAGGGGAGTCAGAAGTAAATAAATGGAGAGCATACGATGTAATGTAAATATGCACTATGGGCAAGATTTTAGAAAGTGACTAACTCTGCCTGAAGGTTTCAAGGAGAGGTCAATTGGCATTGGGTCGTGAAGGATGAAGAGCAGGAGTTCAAACAGCCGGTCACCAGGTGGCATTGCAGGAGGAGGGAACAGCGTGTGCAAGGGCACAGTGTGTTAGAAATGGCAAGAGCCCAGTGTGGCTGCAGAACAGGAGTCCAGGGAGTTGAGGCTGTACATCAACTCAGGGCCTGGGGCCAAGGGGTGAATGGTCTAGAAAACCTTGGGCTTTAATGAACCTTGGGTGATGTGAGGCCACTAAATGCTTGGACTTGCGTGTTAGGGAGATTAATCAGGCCCCAGCGTGGAAGTTGGGCTGGAGGTGGGCTGGGCCCAGTAGCAGGGAAAGCAGACGGAAGCCACTGTCATGGTCCAGGCCTGAAATGGTGATGCTGTGTAAGGCATTGGTAACAGAAGAGGCCAAGACATGTGGAGGGTGCTATTTAAGATGTACAATCAGTAGCACTTGGTGACTGACTTGAAACGAGGGTCCTAACTGAGGAACAAAGGCATGGCGGCACCATTAGCAGAGGAAGAGACTGCAGGAGGCTCGGGGAGCTCTGGCGATCCTGTGACCAGTGTCACTTTGTTTCCCTGAGCACGCTGGAGGAGACTCCCGGGTGCCAAGGCCCACGAGGGCAAATGTCCATCCTTTGTCATCTTTGTAGACCTTCTAGAGTAGCAGGGCAAAGCAGTATACAGTCACTGGCTATGTCATAAGTGAGGGGGCGCTGGGTTCTCATCTGCTAAGCGGTGGGACAAACAAGAAAGGATGAAGTGGCTGGAATAAACCAAAGTCCTGCTTGGGCAGCAGGGCCCGGTGCCACCTGGCCCCTGCCTACCCCGCTGACACCACCCCCGACTGCTTTCTCCCTTGATGAGCACGCTCCAGCTGCAGCTGGGCTTCTTGCTGCTCTTCAAACACTAGACGCATTCCCTTTTCAGAACCTTTGGGATCACCATTCCCCCTGCCAGGTACACCCTTCGCTCACATTTTCAAATGCTTCCCTCCTTCGCTTCCTTCTATTCCACAGGGAGGAAATGCTTTAAAATGGTATCCCATTGCTAGCTTAGCTCTTTCTTCTGGTCCTGTTCTATCTTCTTCATGGCACTAAGCACTCCTGAAATGATATTATACGTTTGTTATTTTATTATCTGTCTCTCCCAGTGGTTTAGGAGCCCTGTGAAGGCCAGAGCCCCATTGTTCCTGTTCACTGCTACTTCTAGGGCTGGAACAGAAACCAGCACACAGACAGAGCTCAGTAGCAATGCCTCCTGGACAAGCTAGTGGCACGTGGATCACAGTGGCCTCTGTAATGCCTTTCTAGAGTTTTCTTTTTCTCCCATGCTCCCCACCCTGCCTTGCACCCAGGAGGTCTTCATATATTTGTACAGTTGACTGAAGGCTAAATTCTGGGCACTAAAAAATTTAAATAAAACCCATAAATTTGCTTTAGCCCCCTGCATAGCAGTTGCTGTTTCTTTTTACTCCCAAATAGCACCTTTCCTCTTGACTTTGATGAAGTGCCATAAGAATTTATCAAAGGCAGCCTGGCGGAGCTGCCAAGCATTTCCTGCCAGGGGAGCCCAGCCTCGGAGCCCGTGGTTGAGGCTGAGGAAGGGAGGGGGAGGACGGCGGGTTGTTTGCCTGGGCTTAGCAACTTGGCCACTGGCTGTCAGCCCAGGTCTCGAACAGCTGGAAACCTAGTGTTTATCTGAAAATTCATCTTTTTCACCACTACTGCCATCCTTCCCAGACTCTCATTACTGTTTTCATGATCTTTTCTGCTTTACATAAGCCCTTGACCTTTTCTGATCTGTCTCAGTCTATAAATCCACCCTGAGAATTTTAGACTGGTGTATCACTCCAGCTGATCCCCAATTTTGCCAAACTTTCGCAGGAGCTTGGCAGCAATTCCTTGTATAATTTCTCTATAAAACAGATCTTTTTGGAGTATAGGCACCAAGAGATCATAATGTGGACTTTGGGGTCAGCCAGACTTGAGTGAGAATCTGACTCCACTACTTTCTACTGTGTGATTTTGGCCAAGTAAAGCATCCTCTCTGATTCTAGCTATTGTCAAAATGTAATTTTTAAAATCATAATTCTCACACATGTAGACAGTGAACATATGTAAAAGACTTAACTCACTAAGGAAGAAACCTGCAGGATAGTGAAGCTGGTTTAAAGTGCATTCAAAAAACAGGTATTTATCCAAGATATTTAGAAACAGATATTTAGTCTATCAAGGGAAGAGTGTTGTAATAAAACAGCTAAGTGAGTTTTAAAATCAGCGAATGTTATAATCTTTGGTGCTATTTTTTCTACTGGATAGAAATAATTTGCATTGCTATTGGACAAAATTATTTGTATATTATCAATCTTTCTCAAGCTAAGGTAGAAGTTTGGACAGTCTAAGTCCTAATTAACAATAAATAGTAAATAGTTAAACAGAGGTACATTTTCCTAGAGAATTAGGCAATCCTTGGGAGTATCTGTTAGACAATGGACAATGCTCCAATATGACAATAAAGAATAGGCAACATTCTTTGCCTCTTCCCAACTTTTGAATAATTTTTCTTATTAGTTTTTTCATGTAAAATAGGGTTACCGCAAGATACACTGCATAGCATAGAAGAGATAGTATATTAAGCCACATATGAGTCCCTTCTTTCTTAGTAGACAAGATTGATAGTATTCCAAGCTATTGCTACTCATTAATTCCTTATTACATATCATGGGGCAAGGAGGTATTCTTCTGAACACACCAACCTCTTCCTTTTGTAGACCCAGCCCTAGGGGTT